ACTTGTTAAATTTAAAATTTCTCATAATACAAATAAGGTTAAAAGTTCAAGATTAGTCACCTCCAAAGTCATTATGGTATATTTATTGAGAATATTTTAGAAATAACGAATATAATAGACACAATAAGGCTATATAATTATACTTTTGATAATTGCGCTCCATATCTGTATTTCACTTTGATATGGAGGCTGTTTTTCCTATATTTCTGCCAGTTTATATACAAATATGACAAGTATATACAAATTTGTACTTGCACATTTAGAAATTTTTCAGAAATCCGTTTGTATATTTTTCTTGCCAACATGCAAATATAGTAATTTAATATGAATTTTTTATAAATTATATACAAATAGCTAGGGTAAAACATATGCAAAATTCTGAATTTATACAATCAGAAAACGAATCATACAAATTCTGAATTTATTCAAATAAGACGAATTATGCAAATTAGAGGAAAAGCAAAAATTGAAAAAATTATAGTAAAAAATTATAATTTTCTTAAATTATAGTTATAATATCTAATATAAGTAAAATATTTGCTATTCTAAGTAATTTTCAATTTTGATGACGAAATTCATTGTGAAGATCCGCAGACTTGATGTACATATGGGCCGCACAGTCCAAGGGAAACTTACATAAATATATTATAATAAAAAGTTATTTATCATTTGTATCAATAATATTTTTTTCACTTAACCATTTTTAATTTATTTACAATACAAGTTTGATATATATTACAAAAACAATTTATTATTCACATATAATACAAATTTTAATGATGTATAATATATTTATCACATTTTAATACACTTATAATACAATGTGACAATTTTTTACCAAACAAACATGATATATTTCAAAAAACAATTACAATTCATATATATTGCATACATAATTCACTTTTAATACATATTACAAATTTAACAAAACATTGCTATAAATGATAATAAACAAAAAATATCGCTAAAATCAGTAATTATTTTTTAAAATATATTAATTTATGCAACATTTTCATCTATGAAACTCCATATAGATGAGTTAACCCAAATTTTCCTAGTCGACCTACTACTACTAGTAAGTAGTAACCTCAACTTTTCATTAAAGAAAAATTGAACATATAATTATTCCTGCACAATTGCTTTTGAAAAGTAAATATGTAGTTTAAAATTCTATAAATATGTAAAAAAATTTGTTGTAAAAATATTAGGCAAATTTTACTTTTACACAGTTCTTGAGTATTGTATAATGTAAGATAAATAAAGTTAGCAGATATAGTTGAGTTATAAAAGGACTTATAACTATATTAAAATATGCAAGTATAATATAAAGTATGTATTTAGTTTTACACTATATAAAAGGGATATAAACTTTTATTTTCAATCATAACCTATCACGATTATTGAACTTAGAGATAAAACTGTTAATGGTATTAACACTCGACGTTTCCGATTCCATTAACCTTCATTTCGTGAATTTGATATAATCCTCATGGAAGCTGATTTATTAATGATACTAGGTAAATTATCGTTACTTCACGCGGTGGTGGACTACGTCAATTTAGTTTTTTCAAATAAGATATGAAAACGTCAATTATTTTTTTTCAAATAAGTTAAGAAATGTTTTTTAATCTTAAAACGAAAAAGATTTGATTTTTAAGTTTTTTTTATGGATTTTGTTATTAATTCTTCATTTTACTATAGATGTTCATCACCAAAGTCTTTTGAAAAGATATATTATTATTTGATTGTTTATATTTGTATTTTCAAAAAGTGGTACAAATTTTTTATTCATTAACTGCGAGAGTTTTTCTCCTATTCAAGGTCTCTACATACATAATCTAAATGATGTCTTGGCAAGTCTCTTATTCAAAATCATGCGCAGTCGATGACAAGTCTCTTATTCAAAATCATACGCTGTCGATGACACTAATTTGATAGACAAAAGACATATTTTGTTGTTTATGTTTCGATCAATATGATTAGAACTTTATTTTTGTGGACCTTTAATCTAACGTTATAAGGAGATAATTATTTCTTTAGTATAGATTCATCTTACATTGAGGGGTAATTCATTAACTACAACCCAACATTTGAACCCTAAACATTTGACTAAGGTTAAATTATAAATTATGATTTGAAAATATTATCAAATATATCGACAAAACAATATTATATTATTTTGGCCTCATTTGTTTGCACTTAATGCGGTTTGAATCTTAATAATTCAGATTTGCCTCATTAAGTGTGTTTGTTTTTAAGAACTGAATCTTAATTATTCAGATTCAGTTAATTAAGTTCGTTTGTTTTATTTTCTTATAAGTCTCTTAATGGGTCTGGATATATCTGAATGAATCAGATCTGTAACACACCCTTAACACTATTCATACTAAAAAATAAGACTCCTATCTTAATTTAACTAAATCACAACAACTCATAAAAGTTATTTTCTTATTTAATTAATATTTAATTACATGCTTGCCATAATAATTTCCTTTATTCATATTAACTTAATATACATTTTTTACTTTAAAAGATTACTCAATATATTTAATTGATTGGCACTCCCATGATATAATATTTAGCACGGTTTCAAAAAATAAGAAAGTATTAGTTATTTGATCGATAACAATAATAAATTTCTAAAATAAAATAAAATAAAATATTTTCCTAAACTATATATTTACTACTCTATATAAACTATTTTAAATTGCATAATATTAGATTCTCAAAGTATTTGAGTGCAAAAAATAATCATATCGATGATGTAACTTGATGTTGAGTTCTTAAAAGATAAATCATATTACCTTGTTACGGTAAAAAAAAGTTCAAAATATTATTTTATATGAAAAAAAACTATTTTACTAACAAAGTTTTGATAATATTTTATTGATATAATGTTTAATTTCATATGTGCATTCATATATTGAAAACAAACTGTCCTAATAATTTAGTGTTCAGATTCATAGACAATATTTTAATATTCAGATGTTTATTCAGATTTACACATCTAGATCTTAGTGCACATTTTAATATTTAAATGCGTATTCAAATTCAAATTCAGACGTCTTAATCTTAATAGAAACAAACGAGACCTTAATATCACTACTTGTTAATCAAATTCACAAATAAAATTATATTTATAATATTTAGAAAAAATGCACAAGTAACCCCTAGACTATGACCGAAATCGCAAAGACACCTTACTGAGGTCGTATTATCCCCCTAAACTTATTCTTTTTTTGTAATTTTGTGTACCTCTTTGGTGTACGTAACATCCAAATATCTTCGATGCGCCTCAATTGCGTGGAGTCATATAGAGTGCCACATAAGACAAAAGGTCTATAAAATTACAAAAAAAAAATTTAGGGGGTAATGGGACCTTAGTTTAGTTAAGACGTGTCTCTGGGATTTTGGTCATAGTTTAGGAGGTGCTTGTGCATTTTCCTTGATATTTATTAATTTTTTTCAACTAAAAGTATAATGTCTAAATAGAAATATTAACCTAATTGTTTTGATTTTGAACTCCCTTTATTTTTAAATTTTAATATTAAATTATATTTTTTAATTAATTTTTATTGGCCCACGGGCCGGCCCTACTGATATTTCTCAAGCTCCCCAAATCCGTAGGCTTATTCAGGCCGGGCTAAAAAACCCTTTTCTTAAATGGGCTCTAAAAATCTTAGCCCACCCCTATTAAATCCTGGGTTAGACCAGGCTGGGCCAACGGGCCTAGCCCATATTGACGGCTCTATCACCAGTTTGTTGATACAAAAACGATAGTGTTAGTGAGTCATTCAATAGGAGCAACGTGCATAAACATTTAATTGTGCAGAAGAAGAAGTTCAGAAGTTTCGTTGTGTTAAAATGAGAGAAAATTTCTCAATTTATGGACAATAAAGGTTAGCGTGAATAAATGTTTATTGTACCTTATCGGAAAGGTCACAATTTTTCATAAAATTCACAATTTTATTTTTTAAAAAAAGTTGCATCTCTTCATAAAAGTCACAATTCTTAGTAAAAGTTGCAACTCTTCGTAAAAGTCACAACTTTTTGTAAAAATTTTGTAATTTTTTTTTATAAAAGTTGTAACTTTTCATAAAAGTCACAATTTTTTGTGAAAAGAAAGACTAACTTTAGAAATAAATAAGTTAAAAAGAAATCCTAATTGTGATGACACCGCATAAGCGGACCTAGGATTCCTTTTGATGTAATATATGATTTTAAAATTCTAAATTTGATTATTATGAAAAAGGAGTACTAAAACTTTTTAAATTTGCTCAAATAATGTAACTGATTATTATGAAAAAGGAGTAATAACACTTTTTAAATTGGCTCAAATAATGTCACTGAAATGGAAGGAGTATAAATAATCTTGGAATCTATTTCGCAGACAACAATATAAGAAGAGCTTTCCGAGGTTTGCAGCAAACAAATAACCCATTTATGATTGGATATCATAATTTGAAATTACATTGATATAAAGTGATATTTTCTCATAAATATGAAAATGAAAACTTCAAAGAAAAATTCAATTCTTATACAATCTATTTAGATAAACAAACCATAATCCATAAAAAGGATAATTGAAGCATCCAAACGCCATATTGATAAATCATATATCTTCATCTTTAGCATTAATAAATCACATATCTTCATTTTTCATTAGAAGTAAATTTTATTTTTATAAATTTTTGAATACACAAATTTTATAAAAATATATTAAACAATCATAGTAGTAAGTAGTAACTATTTTTTTTTAATACAGTTCTTTCGCACTAGGAACAATTCATTCCAAGTATAAGTAATTTTGCTTTGGCAAAAATTTAAAATGATGAATCTTACCAAAATATGAATTTATGGTTCAAATGTTACATTAAATATTTTTGGAAATCTATTATGTTTTCAAATAAATTGAAATTTGATATCATGATTTTCTATCGCATGTTCAAATGCAACCTTAGTTTCAATTGCAAACAACGCAACTGTAAAGATAACTTGACTAACATTGGCAAAACGTCTTTGATGAAATATTGGCACAAAATCTTGATCATATTTTATCTTACTATTTCCTTGAAAATTTTATGTGAACTAATAATAGGAATTCTTCGTGAAATTAACGTACTGGAGATGAAAAGAAGATTACAACGAAATACACGAAAAATCCAGCTAATAGAATACCAGCGTAAACTAAATTCTGAGAAGACTGCACAGGAAGCTTGTATTCAATACTGCAGCATTTCATTTTCTCTCTCTCAGAAGCCAAAATATGTTCCACATACCTAAATATTAGAAAATTCAACAATCCACAACATAAGAACCTATACGAAAATTCCTAATCTAAAAGGGATAAAAGTTTCATGTGTAACTTACTGTTGAGTGAAAATGGAGCTTTGCAGGATATCTGAGCTGTTTGAGTGTGCTTCTTGCAAGCGATGATCATACAGTAGGGAAGACAATTCTACGAGTTGTTCCTCAAGGTTCTGTTATTCGATTAAGTCAGCATATGCCAAAAAGCTACAACCAGATTTACCAAGTATAGGAAAAGTAATTACTTACATCCAAATATTTTTCGAGACGATCAACCAACTCATGGGGGAATGGTTCAGGCAAGTTGGTAGTCTTTTTATAGAACTTCTCCAGCCATAAGTCAGTGCTTGTTTTGTTCTTTTTACCCTTCACAGGCTCACCAAGAGGAGTTTTCAGATGTTCTGCAGCAAAAACTTGTACAGCCTAGGAGGAAAAGAGATGGACAGATAAATACAGGTTAGAGCAAAAGAGTTAGGTGAATGACAACTAGAAGTACCTCTGATGTCTCCCTGATCCGGTGAAGGGCTGAATCGACACGTGCATATATTGTGTTCCTCTGCAGGTGATGGTAAATGATGACAGTTTAGTTTATGCGAGTTACAATCACATCTACATCATGTAGAAAGTGACGAGCAGATAGTGAAGAGAATAACATACCAGGGCGACATCCTTGAGCAATTGACTGACTTGTGAAGTGTTAGAGAATGGTCCAAATGGGTGGCAACCAGTTGCCCAGAGCCAATTTACAACAGGCCTTTCATGCACATGAGAAGCCTTTTCATATGGAGCACTCAACCCACCCACAACAGAAGCCAGTCCTGCCAATATATGTTGTTGGGCTAGCATTGGAATAGCATGCCTTCGCTCTATTTCTGAAACATAGCTGTCAAATACCAACAGGAAGCAAGTAAAGATCCCCAAACTAGATGCATGCAAGGAGAATAAACATCAGAAAACATTTAATGGAAGATTAATAAGTTCACTAATGAAATAATTTGAGGTAGTCTTCTTTTACCATATTTTGTGTTTCTCATAAATGTATTAGACCTAAAACATAAAAACCATAATAATGCTTCTGATGAAGAGAGAAATTGTCTAGAGAAATTGCATGCAAAATCTTTTAGATGCCTAAAGAACGAATACAGGTGAATATGAGGGAGGCAATGGAAATAAAATCTTGCTATATACTTGGGAGTATGGTTCTCAATGACATTTCTTCTATAATTGTTGTCTAGAGAAATTGCATGCAAAATCTTTTAGATGCCTAAAGAACGAATACAGGTGAATATGAGGGAGGCGATGGAAAAAAAATCTTGCTATATACTTGGGAGTATGGTTCTCAATGACATTTCTTCTATAATTGTTTTCTGTAGTCAGTCCAATCAGCAAAAAGTTAGGCTGGTTGGAGATCAGAAGTCATCGGTCTCCATTAAATAGAATAAGATAAAGAGTAAATTTGTTATCAGGGTCTTGCAGCATTCTATTGACATACTCTGATACGAATGGTCGCAATGTCAATTTTAAATACTAATTAAAATCTAAACTGAGTTTACTAGATTTATAATTTAATTGAGGCCAGGAAGACAGAACCAAGGAAGTGCCACTACTTTAGTAGAAAGAGGTTGCTGCAGCTAAAATATTGCCAACAAAGGAAACTTAAAGCTATCTCCTACCCCTGGTAGATTAAAAGTTCCATGATTGTAGTATACAGTAGAAATCCATACTGAAGGACACCAAAACAAACAAGATAATAAAAGCAATGAAAACGGAGTAAACACGTCACCCACCTCAAAGTTATCTTATCATTCTGATGTTGGAGTACAATAACTACATCTTTACTTGTCCAAACAAGACTTTCCTCTTCCATCATAAGATGTTCATCCACATCAGCTAAAGATAGAACAAACCTGTAAACAAGGAGGATATTGTTAGAGCATGGCACTCTTGTTCAAAATGGCAGCAATAGGAGAAAAAAGTTCTGGAATTTAGGGTTAGAACTTTTTGATCTTGTTGGGCAATTTTTATGTCGGTGTAAAATCAAAATGTAGAGAACCTGCTTTATTGAATATTGGATGGAGATAAGCCTAGATGGATGAAAAGGGGTAGTGAGGATTCATATAACTGACCCTGGCTAGGTTGGGACCAAGGCTTGGTTATTTATGTATCTATTCATCGTCAAAAAAGTAAAAGAAAAGAAATTAAACTTAAAAAGAAATAATCAGAACAGCCAAATAGAAGAGACATGTAATAAAGACGATGCTTTTTCGGCATTTCTGATATATATATCATCCAATAATTCAGCAACCAAATTGCTATACGGTCAACTATGTTAAATGGAACAGCATGCAGTACAAGTTTGTTTTCATTGTTAAATCTTACTCAAGATATAAATAAAAGATGACAACAGGCATAGTGTAATAAGATATTGTTGCTATCCATGAAGTCCAATATCAAAGACCAATTCAATGATTAATGCAGAAGCATATGACGAGCATACCTAATTATTGAGTGCAATAGGTAAAGAGGTTCATTACATAAAAAAAACACAAGCTCCTGAAGATCAAAGACAAGTCTTTTAGCAGAACTAGTAAATGTTACTGAGCAAAAAGGTTCATTACATGAAATACACACAATTAAAAACAAGTCTTTTAGCAGAACTAGTGATTGGTGACTGAGTAAAGAAAGAAAGTTCCCAAGGCTATGATCTAGTGGTAAGAGGGCAGTGGATACACGTCACTGGTTTGAACCCTGCAAAGAGAAAAAAACTTGGTATTTAAGTGGAGAAGGGTAGAGGGGTATGCCCAATATCCACCGAGTCGAGACTCGCATTACCGATTTGTATAGCGATATTTCTGATGTGTTCATTCAGTATCAGAACTCAGAAGACAATGTCAAACATGAAAGAGATAACATCAACACAACAGTTATAAGCAATCAAGAAAAGGTCTCAGTGAAATAAAAGGTTATTGCGCTCACACTGGAATGACTCTGGTACCATATGTGCGGTGCAGATCACCTTGCTTCTTTTTTACTGCTCTTTTCTTCTCCTTCTTTCGATTCTGGTTATAAGTAGACCAGATAGGTTTATGCTTTAATACGGAATCACTTGTACCATCATTCTCATCCATCCAGTGCTAGAAAAAAAAAGAACACAGATTTAGAACAATAAGGTAAGAAGTAAAAGCTATATGCATGTGCAAGTTGCAACGGATAAATATTGATACAAGGCATATAGGAGTGTTCTGCAGAATATTTGCAAGGCAAGGAAATGGAGAAACCAACCTGGCGGAGAAAAAATTTACTTGAGAGTGAAGGGTCAGAAACCTCAAGTAAACCAGCAGCTAGCACATCTGCGGATCGTTCCATCTCCTGCATTTATCAATTGCAGAGAGAACTTTATGTTATAAGAAACTCCTAATAACCAATCTGACAAAAATATCAGAAGACCAAAACAAATGAATAAATGAACAAAAGATTAATAGAGACATCAGATAACAATCAAGAACTGACAACCCCTGGAGATGTGGTAAAAATAGAGGGATGTCAGTAACAGATACTCCCTCCGCTTCAACTTGTTTGTCTGGTTTTGACTTGACATGGAGTTTAAGAAAGTAAATAAGACTTTAGAATCTTGTCTTCTTAAACTAAAGATATGTAGAATGCACCAAAATGACCTTTAATCTTGTGGTCTTAAACATGTGGAAAGAAGAATTAAAGAGTTGCCAAAAAAGGAAAAAGAACATTCTTTTTGAAAGGATTAAAAAGGAAAGTAAGACAAACAAATTGAAACGAAGAAAGTACACCATTTGCCTACTGAAACTATTTGAAGACCTTTTCTCACATATAATCTTAATGCATTTCACATCCAACTGCACTTATTATCTCAATTGGAGGTAACATAGAAAAGGGAAAAGGAAAATAAGGAAACCACCTCTCTAAGGATCGCACCATCAAGATATGTCTTTGTATGTACATGGAAACGTCCATCCTTCTTTGTTTCTTGAAGGGAATGACCCCGCATGGCTTTTGAAACAGCTATAGCCAATTTCTCATGGCGATGCAAAGCATGTGAACCTCCAATCATTACTACTTCCTGTTCTTTGTGAAGCATTTTCTTCACCTGAAGGTCAAAAACTAAAAGTTCATAATTCATGTATGGTCCTGGTTCCATCTAAATTGTAAGATTTTGTTCTGTTGGGTACCAACATTGTTAGACTCAGCAAATACACAAGGGAAACTAAAAAAAAATACAGCGAGAGAAAATTGGTAAGGGAAACTGACTTAACGACTAAAGAACAATTATCCTAAACCTTTTATTTTCTTTGTCACAAAAGAAAAATAGCCTAATTTAAACAGCAAGGATAGGATTAACATCTCAACACTAAAGTAGCAGTCAAAATCTACTTCCGCCCTCCTCCTTTTGATAAGTAAGCAAGTATCAGTCTTTAAAATGACATCTCTACCAGTAAGGATTGATGTCAAGTATAATAAGAAAGTAAATATCTGTTTCATCAACATCTGAAAGCTTTACAAGTAGTTTTGGAAAGAAACATAATTTAAAGTTTCCTCAACATTGTTTAGTGCAAAAGCAACAACATTTTCAACTCAGTCACAAAACGAATAACATATCAACCATCCAAGTCACTGGATACGCAGAAAAGCATCATAAGAGATCAGGATAATGAGGTAAAAATTTTACCTCCGCTTCAATTGCTCCAACGTCAAGACTATAGTTATAGCCCTTTGTCATGATATTGAAGCGATTATGATTTTGAAGGACAATGATAGGGATAAGCAACCTTGTTGTCATATCAACAGTTTCAAACCTAATGAATACATGATTAAAACACTAAGATTGTATTAGAAGAAAGAACAAAAATGATCTATAACTGGCTACAAATATGAGCACAGAGAAAGCAGGGGGCAGGGACACTATCTGTAATCATCCTTTTTTTTTTCTTTTTTTTATCCGTAATCATCCTATATGACAAAAATAAACACATCTAATCCTCAGGATGGTATCTTCATAAGTATGCAAAGAAACAGATAGATCTGCAATTACCAATGCTGTCTAGTTTTCTTCCTCTTAAATGTGATATTCATTAACTATTAGGGTTCAAGAATCAAATACATGCTTAAAACTTATCAAGAGCTTTCAGAACCATGATAACCATCATCAAAAGTAACCCGAACAGTCTAACCTTGTGTAAGGAAATAAAAGACTTTACCTAACATCCGGAGCTATGACATGTTCAATGGTGGTTGCAACTAGAGAGGCAAGCTGCCCAACAAAAATATCATCAGCAGCATGCTCAGTTACTACACCTGATCCTTTGTGAAGCACAACGTTCCGCAAACGCGGCAATGATCTGGAACTAATGCTTCCTTCTTCAGTTTCAATCTTTCCATAAGTGCAAGGACCTGCTGAGAGGTCAACCACAACAAACCTGAAATAATAATGCCAGAAAACTCAAACTTCTGTACAACAGGTTAAAGACAATTGAACTTTCAACTGATTTATCAAAGTTACAATTGAAAATATGATTCAACGACAATAAGGTATCTTAACAAAATATGAGATCTAAAAACAAATTGACGAAAACCAAAAAGGAAGCCAAGTTCGCTAGACCACTAGACAGTCTACGAAGAAAGTGAGATCGGCTGCAACATTTCGCAGAACCATTGTTAACTTTTAATTCTATGTTATAGAAAACCCATCACCTTTTACCTACACTACTTGTTCCTGTCCCAAACAGAAAATCTTGCTCCCATATGTAAGTTACTACAGGGGCTTAAACCTTCTGAGAACACATAAAGAAGCTAAAAAGACTGAAGGTACATAGGTACATCCAGACAAAGAAAGAAATTAATCATCAACTTTTTATGCCACGTGATCACACGATCTGTAGCTTTTAACTCACAGTAGAGATATTAAAACTGCAGAAGTCTAAGCAATTCACAAAGAACACTTTAAAAGAAATAGGATGCTCGGGCTAAAGATACACATTTGATTCCCACCATAGGGTCAATCTTGAGCCACAAATCAATTAGCATATGAAGGCAGACCTAAAGGTGCAATACTATTATCCAACTAGCAGATGCTCAGTAATTATCTTGTGTAAAGGGCACATTTTGTTATCCCTTATCCTTTCTCTGTATAAACTAAGAGAACTGTTTCAACATCAAGTATAACGTACGATATAAAGCCAGTAATACCTGCCAGACCCAAGCCAAACCTGAGAAGCTCCCCCTCCATTATAACGATAGCGATATATGTAATCTCCTTCTTGTTTTTTCATCTCTTCCTCGTTAAGTTGTGTAATTCTTCCATACATTAAACTGTCCAGGTCAATGTCCGTGTTCCTTGGATCCAATCTTACCTGCAGTGAAGTTCCCATGGTAACAACAGTCAATTAATGTCCCTATTCAACACTCAGAAAAAGAAACTTAGTGAATTAAGGTTTGAAGTCTGATGTAATGGGTTAGTGTGCAACAACTGACTTCTCGACAAGGACGAACAACAATCAAAGTTAATGAGAAGTAAAAACTTAAAATTTTCTTAACAAATATTATGGAAAAAGGTCAACCTGAACACTTCGTATCCTTCAGTAATAAAATCAAACAAATCAAGAATTTGATGGTCAAGTTTGCCCACATACCTTATCAAAGTTAACAATAAAGATTACAGTAGGCCATGGTCTATCCATCTCTTCAGCAGACTGCCCCCAACTTTCAAGATCAAATAGGTAAGAATAAAGTTTCTGAAATTCTGGTTCCACGGCAGTTGCCTCAACTTCAAAAAGGGGAACTTCTCTTCCAAAATCAGTCTACAAATCAGAAAACAGGTTGACATTTGATTTTGATTTTATGAAGTAGAAACATAAAATAGGAGAATCTGAGACAAATTCAGAATTAATATTATCTGGTACAGTCACCTCTCTTGCATTTCCAGCAGGCACCATTGCTGCCTTAAGTGCTTTCTCCAAAGCTATTAGTTCTGGCTGTCCAGCCTGCAGCAACAGGTGACACCAGAATCACAACAGTAACCATAAATTATTAGCACCAGCCATTCCATTTTCATCTTCGGAACATCTTAAAGAGTACTCCGAACATCATTCTTTTTTTATTTTGCTCAGTCATTTATCAAAAAATCTAAACTTTTTATTCATCGTATATTTAGGCAAGGGACACAAACATATAATTAACAGCAACGACTACATCCATTTCCAGTTGAGGTTTCCTTCTCCATTTATCTGATGAAGGACAACTCTTCTCTCATTGGATCCCCAGTAAGTGAATGTTTAAGTTCGATTAAGTTAAGAATTCCTGCCTTACATATCTAGATTACAACAACTTCCGTTTAGAGATAATTTATTGTTTTTGAGATAAATCTAGATTACAACTACTGCCAAGCTGCATCCCAAATTACTATAAATCACTATTTGGATATGGAAAAAAGGAGTTATTTTGTTGTTTTTTTAATTGTTCAAAATGAAACTAGAGTTTTGTCTTATTGCTAGGAATAAGCCATCATCTCAGTTTGAAAACCTCGAGAAATTAGGCCATCTAACTTCTATCTAGTGGTAAAGTTTCAAATTTAAATGCCACAAAAGAAGTTCTTGATATCCTTAATATTAGGATCTTGTTTGCTTAGAACAAAGGAATCCAAGCCGATATTGGCTAATCAATCATTTTGAGGCATAAGATTTGTGAATGGATAACAGAGAAATATTCATAGGATTGTTACCATTTCTTCAAAGAACATCATAGAAAAGCAACCAATAGTGAGAAAGCAGTAATCATGACTATAGTGTAGCTCTATTCAAAATTAGAAGAGATCTCCGAACATAACACGAAAACAACCATGATTCTAAAAGCACCATGGCAAAATGGTACAAGCATAAATCATAGAAGGGAGAAGGCTCACCGGAAATGTATTATATACTAAGTGATGCTCAATATCAAGTGGTTGGCCTGTCTCCAAACACGAGGGTCTATGAGATGGGAAACTGACTTTCAGAAACTCCTCCAGCTTTGGAGAATCTAATGCGTACCTATAACCCCCATCACCACTAAAACCAACAAGAACTATGTTGACTTCCAGAGGGACTTGAAATGGAACCTGTACAATACTAACACGATTAGGCATTGGAACAAAGCTTTTATATGGAGAGAATTTGAAAAAGTAAATAGCCTGCATTATAATCTCAAGTCATCAATTTTCTGGCCCTGAGGATCGTCCATAGCCTATTATCTATTCCCCTCGTCAATGAACATATAGATCAATTTTGGGCCAAGCCACAGTGCTAGTACCTAAATTACATTGTAAAAATTTAAAGTTGCAATGTATAGGACTTCAGAGTTGACTGATAACAAAATAGAACAAAAGCAATTACAGGCATACCATGAATTTGAACGATCACAAACACATACAAAAATAAAAATTGGTAGATTTTCAGTCGAATTCAATACGAACTTCGAACAAATTTGACTAAATTCCCACTCCAGTTTAAGCAGATCTACCTCGGCACGAGAATGAAGCATTTGACGAACTTCCGATCGAACGTTTTCTTTAACGTCTTGAAAAGCTCCATGGTGCCACTGTTGGTGACCAGGATCTCTACGATAGGCTTGAGATGCTGATTCTGATAGCGTCGAGAACAGACTCAGTGCAACTATTGCTACACAGAAACAGCTTGTTATTGGAACCATCTGAACTTTCTATTTCTCTTTCCTTCTCAAAGATGTAGCATTTGAATGCGGTAGAGCCGAAAACGATATCGGCAGAACAAAGTTCAGTTCTCCGGCGAGAAGAATCGCCTTCCCCGGTGGCCGGAAATGTTTGACCCGTTTCACTGGAGAAGAATTGACGGACGGAGACAGAGTGAGCTTAACTAAAATTCCACAAGTGTCCCTGTTCTGTTACATTTTCTATTTTACGTTTTCTCCACTCCCGTGTGAGTCCATTTACAATACGGGCCAGACGGGTCTCGTCAAGCCTATCCTTCAAGAGGCCCGATATGGTTTTGAGAAATTTGTATAACATAGTTAAGGGAAATTTTTCAAAATGCCAATATTTTAGCATTTAAGAGTGCTCATTAGCAACACTTTTAATATTTAGTAAAAATGTCAAATTTTAGTTTGTTATGTATCTTATTTATGTTTTTATTATTTGTTTTTATTTAAAGAGTATAATTATTTAATAACAAAAGGAGAAAATCAAGGGAGAGAATATTTCAAAAAAAGTAAGGATCTTAATTTTCTCATCAGTTACATTTTCAAATAAAATTCAAATTATTCTTTTTTTTCTCTCCAGAATTTTTACCTTTTTAAAATTATATTCATTTCACAATATATTCTATTTATATTTATTATAGTTTTTTATTAGTTTGTATTCATTCCAATAGGTATGCCGAATTTATCTATATAGTCATTTAAGAAATATATTTGTATTTTCATATATTTTTTTCCCTATATAGTTAATTTTTCATCAAAAATCTTGTACGTATTCATTTCAATATGTATTTTATTTGTATTTCTATTTATTCTAGTTTTTATTTAGAATTTGATATAATAATATATAAAATAGAAAAAATTAGTATGATGAAAAAGTGAATGAAATATAAAATTGAAAAGAAATAATTGAATATTTGGTGTACTCATTCTTAAATAAAATACATAACTAGTTGACATACCTTTAGAATAAATACAAATTAGAAAAAAATGTCAAATTCAGAAACAATGCAACATAATTTTTGAATGAATACAACTGTTAATTGTAAAAATACATACTAACTAAAATAGTATCAAAATTCAATATATACTTTCAAATTTATGAATACAAAAAACAATAAAACTATGAAATACAAAAATAAATATTAATTGTGGTACATTGACATAACTATAAAAAAACATAATACAAAATGAATTAAATATATGAAATACGATTCCAAATCTATGGATATAAAATACAATAAAATAATGAAATACAAAAATACATACGTCATGTAAAACAACAACAAAATTCAATATACACTTCCAAATCTATGAATACAAAAAACATCAAAACTATTAAATATACACAATCAAACTCATATAATGTGTTATATTGACATAACTAACACAAAAAAAAAAATAGATTACAAAATACAATAAATATATGAAATATAAAAATAAATACTAACTGTAACACGATAAAAATTCTATATACACTTCCAAACGCATTGTAACATGAATTTTTTTAAATCTTAAAAATTACTAAACAAATTAAACTAACATGCATGACACAGAACATGTAAAAAAAAAACCTCTTCTCCAACAAATTGGTCTTCTTCAACTTCATGGTTATGAATTTGTGTGGGATTTTGCACATCGACGGATTCAGACATTTTTCTCCGTCGTATATCCTCCTTAGAAGCGGAACCTACATTGTTGTTTAATTCTCGAGTGAAAAAAAATGATGAAAAATCGGAAGATTTTTGATTATTTGTCTAATAACTCTAGTAACTCTCTTGAAAACATCAATTGAAAAGAAAATTATGTAGTCTCAAACCCTAAAAAATATTTCAAGGACAACAACAAAATTAAAAAAAAACAACACTAAAATCAGTAAGTAAATAAATAAGGAATCTGAAAAACATTATACCCAAATCAATGTTAATCTTCAAATCAAATCTTGCAACGAAATTAAATGAGAATAGTAGAAAATATTAATATATTGAATCGAAAATCTGTGGAATTGATTTGGAAGAATGTTAGAGAGAAAAATTAAAAGAAGAATAAGAAAAGAGAGAAAAATCTGGAAATTTGGTTCGGAAGAAAGTAAGAAAGAGAAATTGATAAACTTAAGAAAAGAAAGAAAAAAATTCAAATGACATTAATATTTATCCAATTACATAAATATAGGAAAATGTGTAATCTCTGAGAGAGAAAGAAAAACTGTAAATAATGAGAGAGAAAATATTAATAATATCATAATAATTATTTATTTTTAAAATAATGACATTTTTGACATGTTTACTAATATTATTAAAGTATTGATATTATCACTAAATAAGTTGGTTTTTTTGACTAGTTAGCTAAATTTTTATTTTTCAAAATGTCAATATTTTAGCATTTAAGAGGACTCATTAGCAACAACTTCAATATTTAGTAAAAATGTCATTTTAGTTTGTTATGTATGTTTTTATTATTTATTTTTATTTAAAGAATATAATTATTTAATAACAAAAAGGAGAAAATCAAGGGGGGAATATTTCAAAAAAAGGCAAGCATCCTTAATTTTCTCATCAGTTATATTTTCAAATAAAATTTAAATTTTTTTTTCTCAAGAATTTTTACCTTTTTAAAATTATATTCATTCCACAATATATTCTTATATTTATTATAGTTTTTATTAGTTTGTATTCATTCCAATAGGTATGCCGAATTTATCTATATAGTCATTTAAGAAATATATTTGTATTTTTTATATATTTTTTTCCTATATAGTTATTTTTTTCTTCAAAAATCCTATATGTATTCATTTCAATATGTATTTTATTTGTATTTCTATTTATTCTAGTTTTTATTTAGAATTTTGTATAATAATATATAAAATACAAAAAATTAGTATGATGAAAAAGTGAATGAAATATACAATTGAAAAGAAATAATTGAATATTTGGTGTACTCATTCTTAAATAAAATACATAACTAGTTGAAATACATTTAGAGTAAATACAAATTAGAAAAAAATATCAAATTCAGTTGACATACCTTTATTAGTTTGTATTCATTCAATATGTATGTCAAATAAAATGTAGCTATTTAAGAAATACATTTGTATTCGTATATATTTTTCACTGTGTATTTATTTTTCTTTTCAAAATCTTGTTTCCTTTTCTAAGTTGTATTCATTCTAATATGTCTATTATTTGTATTTGTATTCGAATACAAATAAACTAATAGAAAGTTGTTCTTCTTATAAATAAAATACATAACTAGTTGACATACATTTGGATGAATACAAATTAGGGACAAATACAAGATTCATAAACCATACAACATGAAATTTTTGATAAATACAAATATTGATAGTATACATAGTGATTTGAATACAAATTAAGAAAGCATACCAAATTCTAAAAAAGAACTATAAATACAAAACAAACTAATAGAAAATTGTTCGCGATCTTCGTCGTCTTTTTCAAGATCCTCACGAGTAGACAAAGATTTTACATTTGCGTTCTGAATTTGAGGAAGGTTTGCACACCAATGAGTCTTGTATATGTTCTTACCCTCTTTCTTCCCTCATTTTAGCAGCGGATCATACATTATACACTATTTGTTAAGTAATAAATAAATTAAAGGATGAAAAATCACCAGAAATTGGTTGATTAAGATGAATACCTCTAGTAAGCCTCTTGGATTCAGCCATTAGAGAGTAAATCATAACGGAAATTGAAAAATACAAACAACATTTTTTTTAAGATTTAAACAAAAATAAAATTAGAAAAGAAATCTAAATATAGGATAAAGATTAGAGATACCTTAATCAAAGGGATTCTTGTTGATTCAATTTTGGATTAAAAAACAACCAAAATATATGACAAAAAAATATTTGCAACTTGAATGTTGGAGGAAAATCAGAAAAGATAACCATAAGAGAGAAAAAAAATTAAATGGGAGAGAGAATTAACAAATTGAAAATATAAATATGAGAGAGAATAATTTTTTTTTTAAAAAAGGATATATAGAATTAATTGAAAAAGAGAGATAAAATAGGAAGAAAATTGGAACACATAAATTTTTTAAAATAATGACATTTTTGACATTATTGCTAATATTTATAAAGTATGGATATTTTTACTAAATATGTTATTTATTTTGACTAGTTTACTAATTTTTTCTATAATTAAAGTAACTTTTACGTATGACAAAAATAAAAATCATACGACATCTATTGTTATGGATCAACCAACACAAGTATATGAGGCCCAAGTCAGTGGTGGAATTGATAGTGGGCCTAGCAAAATTAGGAAAAGTCATCGACTTAAAAAGCCCAACAAAAAGCTTCAAGACTATGTCTTAGGCTAAGGGGGACACAAGCACGTGAGAAGCATAAAAATGACAAGAAAAGTCTGTTATATGCAACAGGAATATTGTAGTAGTGGGCAAGCAAGAAGTGATAGCAACATTCTCTGAATTCTCATCTTAATTCTTCTAAGTTCTTTCACCTCCTTCTATCTTGTTGTTTAGTATTTGTTTCCTACTGCAACTGCTTCATTGAGAGCGAACTATCCAATTTCACTACTGAATTAGTTCTTCTTGAGTAATCAAATTAAGTTTTGCTATTGTTCCTTTATTTGGGTTGAACTTTGTTCCAATTGGTGCTTTCATCGTTATACTCCATGGATACTTCTAAGAAAATAGATTCTGATGTTCCGTCGGATTCTTGTTTGAGTTTACAGTGCTATCGACACATTTGGTCAACTCGAGTGAGCTAGTACAACATTTTATCTCAACGATTGCTGCTCGATCCACTGTTGTTGACCCTGTTCGTCCACAACATACAAATGTGTGTTTATCTGCTAGATCTAATTCTTCTGGTGCACTCACAGTTCGACACAAACCAACGACGGTGGAACTTAGTCATTTTAATGGGCAAAAAGTTGATGTGTGGTTGTTTCAAGTTGAGCATTATTTCAAATTTTATTCCATCTTGCATGTTCATCAACTTCCTTTGGCGTCAATCCATTTGGAGGGTGAAGCCCTTGATTGGTATCGCTGGATGTTTCGCAACAAGCAACTCTTTGATTGGATGAATTTTTCTAAGAAGCTTCATCTTCGATTTCAGGATAGGTCCTTGTGTTCTCCGGAAGGCAGACTCTCTAAGCTTGTACAAACATCCATAGTGGTAGAGTTCCGAGCTAGGTTTGAAGCTATCTCT